TTCCAACTTTGTGGCAACAGTTTGCGGAAGGCCCTTTTCTGTTTCTGTTGCACAAAGCAAGGTCCATAAAGACATGGTTTGATGAGTTTGGTGTGGAAGAACTTGACTGGCCAGCACAGAGCCCTGACCTCCACCCCATCGAGCACCTTTGGGATGAACTGGAACGGAGATTGCGAGCCAGGCCTTCTAGTCCAACATCAGTGCCTGACCTAATAAATGCACAAATTCCCAACACTCCAAAATCTTGTGGGAAGCCTTCCAAGAAGAGTGGAAGCTGTTTTGTCCATATAAATATATGCATGTATGCATGTATGACATGTACTGTAAGAGTCAGTGGACATTTTAAGAGCCAAACATATTTTGGTTTGTCTGAAACAGCAGAAATAGAAGCAGTCTCAGTCACGAAGAATGTCACAGAACCAGTTTGTTCTTTCCCTGTTGGATGGCCAACTGCATATTTAAAGAATCACGGAAATGAGGATGAATTATTTCACAGCTGATCTTTCTACCAGAGTTAGTGTAGGTACAGACAGTGGTGCTAGCTTACATCTCACATAATGATAAAGATAAGAACAGGCTTCTTATTTTTAGACTCAGTTTTCAGCTCAGGACTGCGGACACACATGAGCAACACTGACTGACAGCGGAGAAAAAACTTGGTGTGTATTCACGTTGTCTTGAGGTTGTTTGGGTTCGTGTTTGTAGGTTAACCATTTCCTGAGGTTTAATATTGATTTAAATAAGAACCTTGATTTGTTTTCTTTCACTACTTTTCACTACAAGTATTTTTTCATGTGTGTTCATTGCTTTTAAATATCTTATTTGTCAAGTGTCTTATTTGTTTTTTAAGAATATTGTATTGGATCAAAAGTATGTTTTATCCCATTTCTAATGCCCACAGGTTCAAATTACTGTGCAGTTTTATGGTAAAATATTTTAATCAGTACTGATTAAATAACTTAAAGCCAGTGGTTGAATGTAACTAAGTACATTTACTCAAGTACTGTACTTAAATACAAATCTGAGATACTTGTGCTTTACTTTACTACTCTAATTTTAATGCAACTTTCTACTCCAATATATCTTAGAGGCAAATATTGTACTTTTTACTCCACTTAAAACTTTTTTAAAGCCTCTTGAATTAGCTGGACAATGCCTTGTCACAGGACAGCAATACTACAAAAATATGATGATCCTTTAGAATATGATGCATTGTTGTAGATTAAATTACTCAACAGTGTATAAAGTAGTTGAGTGACATTAAACATCTACAGCAGTAAAATGCAACATACACAGAAATGCAGCAGTATTATTAATCCAAAAACATCCAATAGTAAAACAGACAGGGACCGGTTTACTGCACAGTGAGTACTTGTTTTTAGTAAATTATACAGTAATACAGTACAATTACATTCAGGTTTTGAGTGCATTTCTGATATTGAACAAAAATCTCTGAAATTTCACATTAAAACTACAAAACTTTAAA